AGTTGCTAGTAGTTTGTCATGTCAGGGGATCACATGCTGTATAGCTTGCAGCCTGTTTTTATCTTGCTAGAGTTTCACCTTGCAGGCATGAGAGTTTGTCCTTGTATGCTTTCAGATGGAAGTCTTTGTGTTGGGCTGTGAAATTGGAAAGTAAGTCTCCCTGGTCTGTGCGTAGTTCAAACATGAGGTCAAAAAGTACACATCTGTTTCCACTTCATTTGTTTGCACTGGAGACACAGCCTGTCATCTTTCTCTGTCTACTTTTCTCTTATCTGTCCCTTTCTGCATGAATATTTGGATACTTTTCATAGTCACCATTTAATATTATGCCAATTTGCACTCTTTGGTGATAGATAGCACTCCAATGTACTTTTTTATGATGTTGCTTCTGTCCAATGTTTGAGGTTTAGTTTTTTCTCTGTTTTTGTTTTAATAATTTGTATTGGTCAATTTATTTTGGATTTCTAAGCCAAGTCTTGGACTAGCAAGCTGAAACGGCTTCTGTCTTGTTTTAGCCATTAAAAGCTCAGAACTTGAGAGTTTGCAATGGAGAGTTTTAGTCACTTTTTTTAGGCGCTTATAGAAATTAATGAATGACTATTTTATTAGTAGTAGATTATTAGTAGATAAAATATTAAGTCTGTTAAATGCATTATTTACAATTCTGTTTGCAGAATCTTTTATCATGTCAGTTCAGAAAGTGTGTTTTACATTTATATACACTATAAGAAAAATTAATATCTGTAGGAAAAACAGAAAAAGTATTAGTAATTTTCTGCCAAATTTGCAGACATTTGCCTAATACACAAAACAATGCACAAATTCTAAAAACAGGTAAAACACATGTGAAAAACAAAAATACAGAAAATTAATTCATATCAACACACATCACATGCTGTGGATAAAAGTGTCTGCCAAATGCATAAATGTAAATTAGTCTCTGTTGTGTGTATCCAATTTATTGAACTGTTGATTTAAGAGTAGCCCCCTGAATTCACATATATAGTGTGATGGGTCTCTATTTCTCCAGTCACTTTTAATGATAATCTTTATCTGATTCGGGATAATTGGACTTGCCATTCACAAGGGTACTGAACATAGTTAAGCTACTTACCTCATTATATTTGTTAGGATTACGTATAATTAGTTGTGAAAGTATCTCTTTACTCTTGGGATTTGTATAGAATCATGTTTATTGTCAACACATGCTCAAAAGTCGATTAAAAAAGGCAACAATTCCAGTCTTCCAGTATAGTACCAACTCAGTTCTGTACCTGAGGACCATCTGACTGACAAGTGGAGGCTTTCAAATCTCCAAATACTGAAAAGATTCTTTCCTTCAAAGAAAGTCAGAGAGAGTCAAAAACCGGTCGAAGATATTTTGTTTGAGTGTCTGTGTTTGAAGGAGAAAGGTTCTCTTTTGAACACAGGGCTGCATTAGTCTAATGAATTAAAAAAGAATGTGGTCTCGGGTGACTGCAGGAGCTGACAGCAGAGTGTTCCAAACACAGGGAATCTCAGGAGGTCACCTTGGTCATTTCTCTGCCGTGCTCCTGTGCTCTCCCACAGAGTTCATTCGGGGACAAAACGCTATAATTTTCACAAACAAAAATGAGTCACAAACAGGGCTGGGCCTATCGGCTGGATAACATCAACTTAGGAGGATGCTGTCCAATCACAAAATGATTTGTTTGCCGTGATCTAATGTTTGGATCGGTCAAATGCAGATTAGTTGTCCATTGCCTGACATCATGAGCTCATAGAGGACATCTTAATTCTGCAATAAATCTTCATATTTGGCCTTTATAGGGGGATGACTGTGAACACTGTAAAACACACACACACACACACATACTCGTGTTTACTTGAGTATTATCATGTCTTCTGAAGGCATACAATATATTTGTGAGAAACATACCAAATTAAAATCTTTGTTAAAGACCCACATAGTTGTGATTACACAACTACAACTGGATCAACTTATATGTACAACTGGACTTATGTGTACAACTTATGTGTACATACAACTGGATCAACTGAATCATTCAGATTTATGAATAAATTAAAATGAATCAGGTTGATCGTGGCAGATTCACTGAACAGATCTGACTCAAACGAATGATTTAATCACAAAACAAACATTGCTACATTGCTCATGAAAATAGGCTGGATGTGAAATTTTTCATTGAATAATGGGTTAAAGTCAGCATGAAATGGAACTTGTGATAGTATATTCTTCTCTACTTTGATGTATATCTGAGTGAAATGGTTTCTCTACTTGTAAAAACAATTCACGTTCTCGTAGAACGTACTGTACCATGTAATGGTAAACTCCGAATTTTAAGAGAGCTCTGATTTGAACCACATGATCGCTTGAAAAAGTCTCTGTAACATCTGTCTTCCTATAGTCACCTCTAGCCAGGAGACTCTTGTCAGAAATAACAGACCTACCCTTGAATAAATATCCATATATGTCTGTGCTGTGAGTTGAGCTTTTCTGCTGTGTCACCGCCAGAGTGTTTTTGAGTGTCAGCGTGTTCATTCACCCAGGATGTGATAGGATAGCAAATTGTTCCCAGAAATCAAAGTAAATATTGCATTTAAAGACTAAAGCAGCAAAAAAAAAAAAAAAAGCACATGAAAGTCCCTGCTTTTTTTACAGTCTTTAAAAAAATGTGGGGTTCTACAGCATGGTTGTCAGGAGTAAGACTTATACAGATATTTCTACAATTTGACCACTGAAGATCTGATTGGCGGTAATGCATTTTCTATTAGGTTAGGGCATCATTTGGCCTCCTTGTGCTCTATTTTCAGATGAAACCTTCCCCTTGAATTGGTTGTAGTAAAGAGAGAGTTGTCTTAGCATCTAGAGCTCTGCAGCTCTGACTGTTTGGATGAGAATTTTAGCAGAAGCTGTCCACAATGTTCCACTTCATAACATGAAGCTCTTTTCACTTTTCTTTGAGTTTTCTCATGGTCCCTGACAGATTATGCAGAAACACTCTTCTTCTTTTCTCAGCTGTACTGATTATATCAGTTGCTGACAAGTTTCCTTTGCTTTCTAGCCAGTGTTGGTCTGCTATCAAACACCTTCAGCTGCCCACATATCTCTCCATCACACTCACTATCAATGTGTTAGACAGCACAGTACACAATATTGTAATATGAATTGTCTTACATGCACAAAGCAGTATTAAACTTGTATTGTATAGGCTACTGGATATTGTACTGTATATGGAAGCTTGTTTCTGCAAAAAAAAAAAAAAAAAAAAAAAAAAAAGGTAATTGCGAATTTATTTATGTTTTATATCTTACAATTGACTTAAATGCGTAATTGTGAGAGTGTTATTTTTTTTAATTGTATAAGGAGTGTTTCCTCCGAGGAGGCAAGGGAAGGGTAGTGCCTCCTTAAAACAATTGAATCACAGGACAAAAATAAAACAACGCACATATTATGGAATATGGCATTAAAAATGTATAAATGGATCCTTGTTCAAATAATTATCTACAGTGGACAACGAAACTGAAACACTGGCCAATATGGGCTGCATCTGAAAACTAACAAATGCTGCCTTAGGAGGACACATTTCAAAGTAGGAAGGCATCAAGGCACGTCTGAATCCAGTGTTAGCTTCACTTCCTGTCTCCTGAGATATCTTCATCTGATGGCAGCATAGATGAATCCTTCGCTGTCTTTGATATCCCACAACCCTTTGCATTTCATTTGGTGACAGGGGAGCTAGAAAAAGAAAGATGGCATCTGAGAGTAATGGTTGCTGGTCAGTTTTTACTTTTACTTCTGGTCAGAAAATTTCTACTTCAGTAATTAAATATTTGTTTAGTTCTCACCAAAGCTCACTCTATTTTGCTGTAAATCATTAAATTGACACTCTGCCTCAGAAGTCTGTTCAAAATCAGTTTTGTGACGTACCTTTGTGTACACTGCCTTCAGAGTCATTGCCAAACAGCTAGGCAACTAGTCAGCTGCCTAAGTTTTCAGATACAGCCGTAATGTTGGAGTTTTGACACATACTTGGTGGCCAATCTTCACTAATTTTACATTCCATCAGTAAGAGCAGAGTGTGGGGGTTGAATTAGCAGAGCTGTGGCACAGCTGTACAACATTGCAATCGACACAACATAATTAGTAGACGTATCAGAGTTTATAAGTGGACAAATTGTTGGTGCGTGTCTCGCTGACTCTTCTGGGACCAGAACAGCAAGTCTTTGTGGTGTATCGAGAGCTATGGTATCCTGGGTAATGTCAGCATACTACCACGTTGGATGAAACGCATCCAACAGGAGTAACTGATGCAATATGAAGCTGTCTGAAAGGGTAAATAATAACCCTGATTGCATCCAAAACACACAGCTGCCCAAATCACTGCAGAATTAAATGTGCACCTCTCCTGTTTCCACTAAAAGTGGTCAATTGGAGCTCCATTTGTTTGTTTGACTACAGGTCATGTGTATGATTGATTTTGTGTGCTCCTTTTGAGGATGACTAAATTGAAAGAAGCATTTGCTCGCCATGATTTTGAAGTACACAAAACTTAGTCTGGTAACGTAATGGGGATTTTATGTACAGCGACTACAGTATCAATCAGTGCAAAGTATTTCTCATATTTCAAACCATATTACTTTTTTTCTTGCTTGTTTTTTAGCGTTGCAACATTATTTAATATATTAGACTGAGGATTTATCTGACACGCCTTTACCTAATTATGTGAAATATTGATTGCAGCTATTTTCTGTTTTATTTAGATTCTTTCCACATTTAGATCTCATGTGTTTGTAAAACGTACTTCTATTCAATGTAATTTTATGTACAGTCTTTACAAGAAAGATTTAAATTGAATTTTAAGCGAAAAGCGATGATGCCCTCTAGTGGTAGGAAATACTTTCCACGTCTGCTCAAGTTATTGCCATACCATTCAGTTCTGTATCTACTGAAAGGAATTCCCATCTTTACCCTCTCCTTTCACTCTCTCTTTCTCCAGGACAGCAAAGAGCCTCCGGACTGCAGACTAAGTGAATCTTTCACCTCTACTGGTTGCACGCTGGGGGTAGACCTGCACAGGAGGAGGCGCCGGTTCTCTGGGAACCTACAGTTGCCTCCTTTATCATGGCGGCAGATGGAGAGGTCACGCAGTCCGGATGATGAGTTCATGGCGAGACCAACTACCCTGCCCTTCATCACACCCCCTCGCATTGACATCACACCTGTGGACTCTGAATGGTGAGTCCATCTTAATCAGCTCCTATCATTGCTCCTCTAATTTCAGAAATCTGATTCGAATCATGTGTGTAAAATGTCTGATGTTAGGGAACTTTCTCCAATCCCGGTTTAAAACAGTGGTTCTGTGGCACTTCGAGCTTGACAGTTGAAATGTTTGGGAAACTATATTTATTTCTTTTGGCATAGATTAAATAAGCTTTATATTATATAATACACTAGCATTCAAAAGTTTGGGATTAGTAAAGCGTTTTTTGTCTTTTATGCTTACCAAAGCGGCAGTTATTTGCCCAAAGATACAGTACAAATCTGTAAAATATTAGTACAATTTGAAACAACTGTTTTCTATTTTTTAAAATGTATTTAAAAATGTATTCGTGTGGTGACAGCTGCATTTTTAGCATCTTCAGTGTCACATTATCCTTCAGAAATCATAATATGCTGATTTAGTGCTTAAGAAACATTTATTATTACTATTATTATTGTGCTGTTTAATATTTTTTAGCAATCTTTCATGAGCAATTGAAGCATCCTTGATGAATTAAAGGATTTATTAAAAAATTCTTACTGACCCCAAACTTTTAAACAGTAGTGCACGTTACTTATATTATATTAGCATTAAAAAAAAGGTCGTGTCAGGTGCCATCGAACCTTATTAGCTGTACAAGTTGGTTGTTGTAGAATTTACAGCAAAGACTCATCTTTTGAATTTAAAAACTGCTACTCTTAGATGAAACCGGTTGAAAAGAACCCTCGTTCCCTGAGTAGGGAACAGAGACGTTCCGTCGGATGACGACGAATGGGGGTTTCGCTTAGAAAGCCTATCGACTTTGAGTATTACAAAACGAGCCAATGGCAAAGAAATGTCATGGGTCTGCAGAATTTGCATAGCGTATCTCCGCCTTACCCCGTGGGTATAAAAGGAGGACGCCGGCAATATGCAGATATGTTTCTTCGCTAAGGAGCCAAGACTGAACTCGACTGTTCCAGCGGTACAGTGCTGTGGCAGGAAGACGCAATGTATCCGTTCCCTACTCAGGGAACAAGGGTTACATACAATACCGAGACGTTCCCTTTCGTTGTCACTCCAAGTTCCATCGGATGACGACGAATGGGGTTACCAGTCTAATCACGCCACCTTCACGCACGGATGAAGGACACCTATTTAGCACAGGGATACGAAGGTACACTGGGGAGCATATCCCAAGTTTACAGGAAATATGCAATTACTGATCCCAATCCGAGTGGCGTTGCTGCGGCTGCAGATGCCATATACCCCAGGAGCCTCTGAAATAACTTCAGTGGAACCACACTCTTGAGCTTGATTTCCTGGCAAGTCAGCAGTGGCTGAGTGGAGAAGGCGACCGAGTCGAAACCAAGAAAAGAGATCCTTTGCAAGGGGCAAAGTTTACCATTTTTCCAGTTGACCTCAAGGCCCAGACGAGCTCTGTGCCAGAGCACTGGGTCCCTGTGTTCGCAGAACTGGTTTTGAGGGTGAACTAGAAAAGCCGTGTTCCCATGGAGGAACAAGGGGTGCCTCGACAACTTTCGTGAGGGCGCAAGGAGACAGGGCTAGCCCGAATGGGAGAATAGCATACTGATATGCGCGCCTCCTGACAGCAAACCGTAGATACGGTCTGAATCGAGAGAACGTACATAAGAGTAGGTGTCCTTCAGGTCAATCGCTGCAAATCAATCCTGTGGCCACACACATTCGAAAATGTCAAGACGTTTGGCCAGAAGCATCTTGAACAGCAGCCTGTGAAGTGAGCGGTTCAGATGTGCAGGTCCCGGATTGGTCGTAACCCACCGGCAATACAATGAAGTATTGGCTGTAAAACCTGGACCTCATTTCGGCTGGAGGGACGGTCTCGCACCCTTCACCAGTTGGGTAGCAACCTCCGCACTCATGGTAGGGGCATAGCCATTGACCATAGTGGAGCGAACTCCCCAGAAGCAGGGAGGAGACCATGCGAATTGAATCACATAGCCGAGCCTGATGGTTCGTGCGACCCAGCGGGACAGGTTGGGAAGCTCAGAGAGGCTCCTAATGACTCTGCCAGCAGGGTCACGCGAACCACAGATTTCCCCTCGGTGTTGCGGCAAAGCGGAATGACCGGCCTAGACGTGAACCGCATAGCAGCCCGGTGTGGGGACATGGTCAAACCGAACCCTGATAGAGGGGGCCAGGGAACGACCAGCTGCTCTGCCAGGGGTATGACGACAGAGTGGGATGATAGTGGTACCGCCTGGGGGCAGCACACACTGTCATCCGAGCTCTGGGACAGAGGGGGATAAGAGTGGCGAGACTCGTAAGAAACACGCACTGTCATCCGCACCCTCTGGGGGCTCAGAGATGGGATACAGCTCTTTGGAGAAAAGATTCTCTCCCGGCCCTCCACCGGGGGAAGGAGTAGCCCTGCAACCACTCCCTAGAAAGACACGTCTTTAAAAAGACGTGCTGTGTGCACGCTCTTTTTGTGAGAGAAAAACTCGCAGCAGTGCTGAAGTGCCCAGGGAGAAACACACACGCTGTTCAGTTCAGCAGGTAGGAATATGAAACTCGCTGGAACTCGCCATCACACCAACACCGACTGGACGCTGCTTGTCTAGAAGATTCTCGAAGTCAGAGAATAGGCTGCATGAGTGCAGAAAACTCTTGGCTCTGAAGTGAAAACATGTCTGCATATTGCCGGTGTCCTCCTTTTATACCCACAAGGTAAGGCGGAGATACATTATGCAAATTCCGCAGCCTCATGACAAATCTTTGCCATTGGCTTGTTTTGTAATACTCTAAGTCGATAAGCTTTCTAAGCGAAACCCCCATTCGTCGTCATTCGACGGAACTCTGAGTGACAACGAAAGGGAACTTATAATTTTTTGTTTTGGCAGTTTCTTTTGCTTTCTGGTCTATAAATTATTCATAACCTTATAAAATATCTTGAGAGGAGTTGTGCTCATTCTTATGACAGCTCTTCATTTCAAAAGTTAAGAGTATATGAAGACTTCTACTGTATAAACATTTAAATATTTGTTGCCAGTCAATCACTGCATTTCTGTTGGACCTTTTACAACATTAGCACTGTTATTTTCCTGTTTGTTAACGTGAAGCTGCTTTGAAATAATCTATTGTACAAAGCACTGTCTAATGTCTTGACTTGGCTTAACTTGCTGATCAAGTTTTCAACTATGGATCATGGAATGGATCATGCACATGAATGTTTTCAGAAAACCAAATTTGCCAGATAATAAATATCATTAGAATTGTGCAGAAATTACACATTTACAGATATGTACAGATATTTTTCTTTAACATAGATGCAGTCTGTGGCTGTTTTGGTTTGTGTGACTGTTGCTTTAGTAGCTGTTTGTGAAGTTGATTCTCATTTTTTTCAGTGTCAATGTTCCCTGACAACATTCAGATTTGAATGATATGAATAGTATTGAACTGGAAGTTGCTGTAGATGTGTAGATATATCTGGAAAGCTGGTAAATAGTGCACATATTGTACAGAGCATTGAATAATTAGAAATCTCTTTAAATGTCTTGTTTGGTCTTAACATCTGATTTATGCTTTACATATAGCCTAAAATTATGTTAATCTCAAACTTGTGCATGATCAAAGATGAACTATATCAATTTTGCTTGCAGCACACTGGTGATTTAAGCTGCATCTGCTCAGTGTTGTTGCCATGAGGAGAGGGAAATCTGTCTAGTTGCAGTTGACTGCACAGCAACAGCTGGTTTATAATCATCAATCATTCATCAATCAATGTGTCTGGTAAAAAGACGTGATTTGACATCAAAGTTGCAATAGTCCTAAAGCAAATGCACTATGAGACCAAAAGACATTTGTGCTTAGATATTTATACTTGATCGGTTTAGTCAAGTTTGTGGGGTTTCAGCCTAAAAAGATATTTTTTTTCGTTATGCAGTGATGCATTTGATAAATGTTTACCATTAGATGACATTTATTATGTTTGTAGTTGTTATTGTTTGCCAGTGGAGGGCAGCATTGAGACTAAAATATATCATGCCACCTAAACTCAGATGTTTCCATGTGACACCTCTGGTTTAGTAGTCCTTGTGAACATTCATCAGTCTGCCCCCGTCCTAAAACACTACAGACCCATAACATTAATCAATGTAGGCCATCTGCTCTCAAGCCTCTTTCAAATGTAAAGCAAATTGAGGTTATTCTGGATCTGGATGTTTGTCTCAGAATGTTTAAGGGAATAGTTCACCTAGCAACGCAAGAGGTGAATGATCTTTAGTTGGTGCATTTGGTTTTGAGGATATTTTCAGTGAATTATCAATCAGGATAATACAACATCTTTCTGGATTATCATTAAAAAATTACATTTCATTCTGTTTGTTATACAGGCCATTTTTATGATACTTAAATGTTTCTTTTTGTTGTTGTTGCCATTTTGGCTTGAGTCATTCCTATATGAGAAAGCTGGCCAGAATTTTTCTTTAAAAAAAAAAAATCATATTTTGTGTTCCAAAGTAAGTCAAGTGAGTTTATAACAATATGAGAGTAAGTACATAATTAGTTTTCAGTTTTCGGTAACACTTTATTTTACGACCCGCAAACAACTGTGTAAGTACACCTAAATTACGGTGTACGTTTCTGTAGTTATAGTGCACTTCCGTGTAAGTATAAGGGAACAATATGTTAAGTTTGGGGTAATACAGGGGTAACAAGCACCACTTTAATTTACTGCCCTCAGGAGTTACACTTAACTACACAGAACAAGGGGGTAACAAACGCTACTTACTATGTAGCAATACGAAACATTTGCACTGTAATTACAGAGAAAGGTATTAATTACACAGTATATTTGCCCTGACATTTAAGTGTCATTGCAATTCAATGGGATAAGGTAAGTACTAATTACCACATGGTACAGTCTAAATTAAAATCATAGCAGAAACAAATTATTTAGATTTTTCTAGCAATCTAGTAAGAAAAGGCAATATGTCAAAATGTCAAAATTACC